TATGTAAATAACATTGCATACCGCATAGAAATCTCTAAGACATACGCCAGGGACCGCACGTTTTTGGGCAAACTGCACGTTATTTAAATCATCATAATGCACTTTAGGTGTTGTTTTTCAATAATTATAACATTTTTTATTTACAAAAACAACTAAACAATTAAAGTTCCTAGTACTTTTTTAACGTATAGTACTGTGTAAAACATCTTACAGAGAGGAAGGGAGAGGGATAGAGAGTTAGAAACATTGATCAGCTGCCTCCTGCACATCTCCCACTGGGGATGTGTCCGAAACCCAGGCACATGCCCCTGACCGGAATCGAACCCGGGACCTTTCAGTCCACAGGCCGACGCTCTATCCACTGAGCCAAACCGGTTTCGGCAAAGTTCCTAGTACTTTTCTAACGTATGGTACTGTGTAAAACATTTTCCTCTATGAAGAGGGACCAAACAAAATTTACATAAGTATCTAGATTTGCTCCTTTTTCCATGGGCGTGAAAAACGAGAACACTCGTGAGCAGTCGGTCCTTAACAGATGGCGCGCGAAACACAAGAAAACTCCTGAGCGGTACGAAATGTGTTAAACTTGAGTACGTTTCAGAGACATCCAGAGCACTTGTAAAACATCGGTTCACACTGCACACACTACATTCAAATTTAGTGGGTCTGCAGTGAGCTGCTAATTTGCAGTTCGAACCTGTTCTCAGGTGATACTGATTCTACCACCACTTAGGGACCACACTTTCATACCAGTCATCTGGGCCACAACTTCCGACAGGTGTGCTGAGGTCCGCTCACAAAGGATTTGGAGGACCTCATTAAAGATTCCAAACAGTGGCAAGCCATTGAAAAAATTTAAGGCAGCCGAAACCGGTTTGGCTCAGTGGATAGAGCATCGGCCTGCGGACTGAAGGGTCCCAGGTTCGATTCCGGTCAAGGGCATGTACCTTCGCTGCGGGCACATCCCCAGTAGGGAGTGTGCAGGAGACAGCTGATCGATGTTTCTCTCTCATCGATGTTTCTAACTATCTCTCTCCCTTCCTCTCTGTGAAAAATCAATAAAATATATTAAAAAAATTTTTTAAGGCAATGGACAGGAAGGGTGCAAGTATGCTTGTGGGAAGACCAATTAAAAATGTAGTCCTGGCTGGTGAGGCTCAGTTAGTTGGCCATCTTCCCATACACCCAGGGGTTGCTGGTTTGATCCCTGACCAGGGCACATGACCAGGTTCTGGGCTCAATCTCTGGAACGGTGCGCACAGGGGGCTGCTGATCAGTGCTTCACTTTGCATCGATGTTTCTCTTTTTCCCTCCCCCAGCTCTAAAAATCAATAAAAGTCTTTTTTTAAAAGAGAGATGACTATAGTTTGGGATGGAAATGATGGTGGTGTGGTCCATGGTGGATAAAGTGAAGGTGGGAACATTGGAAAGGTATTTTGGAGATAAAGCAATAGAACTTGATTACTGAATGTAGAGATTAAAGGATAAGGAGGTGTCTGATATTCTCAGCTTGAAACTTTTTTTTTCTGAGATAAACCACACTGGTGGTCAGATTAGGGCAGGGGTGGGCAAACTTTTTGACTCGAGGGCCACAATGGGTTCTTAAACTGGACTGGAGGGCCGGAACAAAAGCATGGATGGAGTGTTTGTGTGAACTAATATAAATTCAAAGTAAACATCATTACATAAAAGGGTACGGTCTTTTTTTTTTTTTTCAGTTTTATTCATTTCAAACGGGCCGGATCCGGCCCTCGGGCCGTAGTTTGCTCACGGCTGGATTAGGGAGAAAGCAGTTTTGGGGATGCTGAATACAGGTGCCCTGGTTTTTATTCAATTAGAGATGCTGAGCAGGCAGCTTGACATATGGCCCTGGACCACAGAGGACATATATAATTAAGGACATATATAATTAGTGGTTTGTGGCCTGGACCTCAGAGGATATGTGTTGTGTGTACTTGGACCTTAGAGGATACACAGATACGTGGTCTGGACCAGGTTTGTGGAGCTGGACATCAGAAAGTGGACATTGTTAGTGTGCAGAGAGATTGACCCTGAAGCTATGGTACATGTGTGGAACAGAGATTGCAAACTCCAATGCCTTTAGGGGCCAGGCAGGTAATGAGAATGCAGGCCAAATGCATATTTTGTTTGAGTCAGTGACTGGGACTGTCTACTGTATTCCAGCTATATATTACCATGTGGTAATTGCATGGATTTTCAATGAAAGCCAGGAATCTGGATTTCACCACCAAATGTTTGGGTTTTAAATGTTGGCTCAATGTAAAAAATGGATCTGGGCCAAAGAAAATGCAGATGTATTATAAGTGACTTGCCTGCTACCAGTTGAAAAGGGAAGAATGTCTAGGACAGTGGTTCCCAACATGGGGAACACGCCCCACAGGGGGGCAATTTGATTTTAAGGGAGGCAATGTGATTTTAAGGGGGAGGCAATTCGAGAATGAGTTATTAACTGAATTTTTTTGCATTTCTTATAATTCTAGAGGCCTAATATACAGTATATAAATATATAGTGACATTTATGTGTTTCAGTCCTCATATGTTTTGAAACTTTATTTGCTATTTTTTCATATTACTTCATGTTACTATTTTTAAATAATATCTTAGTGATTTCTTCCTCAGTACTTCAACTGCTCTTTCATTCTTTAATTTTTCTTTTTCATGGATGCCATGTTCTTTGGAAGCTTGTTTAGACCAAACTAATGGCTTTTTAGGTTTCCTCCACATGAATAGGAGTTCACTTTTTGAATAATAAGAATTATATGTCACGGGGGGAGGGGGTATCAGGATTTTAGAGATGCTTAGGTGGGGCACGGCCAAAATAAGGTTGAGAACCACTGCTCTAGGACCAAGCTGTGAGGAATCCAGTTGAGTGAACAAATTCAAAGGTCTGATAGGGATGTGGAGTGGCCAGAAGTCAAACCAGGAGAGCATGGTGCTTGAAAGCGAACACAAGAGGATGTGCAGTCTTCAGTGCTCCGTGGTATCCCAGATTTTAATGCCTCTAGGATGGATGTAAAGAAAACACTAGGTAGAGAATGTTCTTGGACAGTGATGGCGAACCTATGACATGCGTGTAAGAGGTGACACGCGAACTCATTTTTTTGGTTGATGTTTCTTTGTTAAATAGCATTTAAATATATAAAATAAATATCAAAAATATAAATCTTTGTTTTACTATGGTTGTAAATATCCAAAAATTTCTATATGTGACACGGCACCAGAGTTAAGTTAGGGTTTTTCAAAATGCTGGCACGCCGAGCTCAAAAGGTTCGCCATCACTGTTCTAGGAAGTGCCCTTGGTGGAAAATGTTTGTGCTGTGAGCCATTATCTTTAATCTAGAAGGCAGAGCTTCGAAACTGAAGACTTGTCTGAATTCTCATGTAAAGCTTTATAGACACTGTCATGAGTCCCTTTCCTTCCTCTGTCCAAACCTTACGGACTTTGTAATTTAAAAAGGTTTACTCTAATCTTGGGTCGCAATTTGATTTGATGCAGAGAGAAAAGGAAATTCAACATTTGCGAAAGGGTTGTTGTCAGGCTGAGAAAAACAGATTTGTTTCCAAGGCCTCCTTTTGCTAGGAAAATAAGTTTGGGTTAAAACTTAAGAATGATAAGCTGAATGATGTATCAAAACAGGTCAGATTTCAATACGATTCTATAGGTTTTATTATGGTTTAATAGGAGGAGTGCTTACTATGTGTCCTTAGGCAAATCAGTGATCTTTGTCCTAGGTTACTAATATCTCTACTCACATTATATGGACATGTTGTGTGGATCCAAAAATTTTTGAAAGTACCTGAAAGTGATTTAAAAATGTTAAAGTGTTGCCGAAACCAGTTTGGCTCAGTGGATGGAGCGTCGGCCTGCGGACTGAGGGGTCCCGGGTTCGATTCCGGTCAAGGGCATGTGCCTGGGTTGCGGGCGCATCCCCAGTGGGAGATGTGCAGGAGGCGGCTGAGTGATGTTTCTCTCTCATCGATGTTTCTGGCTCTCTGTCTCTTTCCCTTCCTCTCTGTAAAAAATCAATAAAATACTAAAAAAAATGTTAAAGTGTCAATCTGAACTATCAATATGAAGTAACAGTATACTGTAGTTATATCAATGTGAAGTTGAACTTCTACTTTAGGAGTTGAGAATGACCTTCAACACAGACCTCATAAACTATGTTGACTAATGCTTGTTTACGTATGCTAATGATGAAAACAGTTTAATGGTCTATATAATTTATCAACTAAACCAGGACACTTTGGAGTGTGAAAGGGGGTACTTTTAGTTCTGTAGGACGACAGGCAAAGCCTAGGACTACCCTGGGTGCAATGGGATCCATGATTAGCTCAGGCATAGATCAAATGTCACTGGATATAAAATTGATTTGTCAGATGGTGTGGTGACATCAGATCTGTGTATGCAAATCGATCCCCCTCCCTAAAAATTCATTTACTTGGATATGCTATAAGGACATCTCTTTCACAAACAGGAATCCTGGACTAAATGAAATAAAAGAAAATAATAAACACTAAATTTACCATCTCCAGCACCCATACTTGTTTCTAAAGGGCATTTAGAAACTCATCAGAAGGTTTTGCTTTGGTTTAGTGTTAATCTTCATGAGGTAATTTGGTTAACACTTAGAGAAGACTGTGGTGGGTGAAAAGAAGATTGGATGAGTCTTTACCGAGAGGAAAGGAAAATATTAAATAATGGAATTAGTACACAAAAGATGGTAGGTTCAGCAGTGTCATATCCCAGACAAACTAAGGCACAACGCATTTATATTCTCATGCAAGTAGATGAGATACAATGGTATGCACAGAATTTGAATGTTATATGATTCATTTAGAGCCTAGCTACAGGCCGAAGTGATTTGGGGATCGTAGGTGAGATTAGAGGGATCATCGTTTACATAGGTTTTTGTTTTGTGAGTTTTTATCTTCTGAAGTTTGATGTGGGTTTTATACTTTTGTTGGAAGGTTTCCTGGGATGTGACTGAATCATGGTGGCAACTGCTGCACCATTAGAAGATCCTGCGAAGATGACATTACTCAGTAATCAGGTAAGTAGGCAAGTTGGCCTTTGTTCTCTTGCGAAATCTGAAGTGCTTTCTGCTCCACAGCAAAGCGCCTGAAAAGCAGCAGCACTCGGCATTGACAAAGAGATCTTTCTTTCTTTTCCACAATGCCCTGCGGAAAGGTAAAGAATTGGAGTGTGAATTTCTTTGGGAGTTTGAGCCAAGGAAATGCTAATGGAAGTTATGTTCCTTCCTCGAGACTATGTTTCCCCTCTCACTTTTGTAAGTTAATGTTCTCAGCTTGGAGACTCTGCTTCCTGCCTCATGGTGTTGGATTATGTTTTCTTCCTGGGGGTCTGGGTCTAGAAGCTTAGCCTCCCACTCAGTGGCCAGGGTTGAGCCAAAGCGAAGCTTCCTGGGAGGGGCCCAGGCAGTTCTAGCTCTGCACCTGCCTCAAAGGAAAATGCCCCAGCCTGGCTGGGCCAGAGGCTCCCCGTTTTGAAAATCCACATGTAGAGGTAACTGAGGACATAACAATAGGGTTAACACGCCTTTGGGTTTTGTCAAAAGAAAGTTGCCACCTAAATATTGCCTTTAGATAAACTGCTAGTTTGGTATTTATTTTCAGGACCAAAGTTCTGTGTTCTCTCGTGTGTCGGTGACCCCATTGAAGTCAATGGAACCACCATGGGCACATTCAGATAACTGATTTTTGGGGTTGGTAAAATAGTAGTGATTAGAGGCACTATCGGCATTGTATGTCAACTTAGTAACTGAATGATAAAAACAGTTAATTCTGGTTTTATTGTGACATTTTGAAATGTTGTCTACCTCAGCTTGATTGTCACAATAATGAGTCTGTTGTTATGGGTCCTGCACAGTGGTTGTCACATGGAATGGTGGAGAACCCTTTACTACTACTTGCCCCATTTGAAATAGATTTAAAGGCTCTAAGTTCATACCAGGAGGAACAATATTCAGCGGAACTCCTTTGTTTATTTTGACAAGCAGAACTTCCTGTTAACCTTCCAGTCTTATTTTGGTTTAAAGATGTTTTTCACCTCAGATACTTGTAGCAGTTTAGGGCAGGTCCTGGAACACTTGATCAAATACAGACAACAAACATCCATTAGCACAGCCACACCTGGGGTGGGGGCGGGGGTAGGGGAGGGCATCTTGGAGACACTGTTTTCCTAAGAGTGTTCAGTCCTTTGACCAGTGGACATTGAACTCAGCCATTGAATTAGGTATTTTCTAGGCTCTGCAAATGAAAGAGGGAACCCTTGGAGAATCCCGTTCAACAGAGGATTGCCAGTTAAAACGCATCTACTTCCTATAACCCAGCCCTTGCAGTACTTGGGAGCTCTGAGCAGGGTGCCACAGTTCATGGGAAACACAGAATAATGTAAAGCCTTTGGTCCTGTAGCAAAGTTGTCCTTTATTTTAAGCATAGAATGTTCAGCACCGCACTGGCAAAAATCTTGCTGGATGTTGAGATGTACAAATTCCTCCCAGATGGCTTTTATCTTTGATTTGATGAGTGGAAGGGTCAGAGTTAACCCCGGTGGTGTTCAGTTCAGTTCCTGGGGCTTCCAGTTCCTCTTGCCTTCTCTGGAAACCGTTTCCTGGTATTCTAATTCTGTCTCTTGCCAAGTTGCAAGAGCACAGAGGAAAACCCCAGAAGTAGCTTGTGGTGAAGTTGCAAGTTTTTTGGCTCCTATCCAAACACCCGTGAGCCTCATTTGTGTTCGCGTATAAGAAAAGCCAACCCGGATCTCCTACTAATGCTTTATTTAGCGCTTAAACTTTAATTGCAGGGTATAAATGATACCATTAGGAACCAATATCAATACTAATGCCACCTATATTATTATTTACTCGCCTGAAAACTAAGCTCGTTGAAATATATTTATTAACACTGTATCCTAGAACTACACATTTAAAGCTTAATTCTGTGTCTACTCATGAATTCTCAGCATATTCCAGTGTCGGAGCTTTCTAGCATGAGATCAATTCATTAGGAAATTCCAGTGATGAGGTGTGTTAGGGCATTGTTGGTTTTTTTTTCAGGTCGCAAGTACAGCCTGATTTATTCAGAAGATAAGCATCCTGTGTGGGATTCCATCCCCTTTAGCCAACAAACAGTTAAGTTCAACATTTCTGATATATAAACTTTGCTCTTTAGCATTCAAATGTACCTTATTCATTCCTTAGATTTCTCTTTCAACCATGGCTATTGTTTGTCACTAACAGCTAGCTTTTGTGAAGTTAATAAATGTGCATAATAAGGACACAAACGTATGGAGAAGTAATACTGTAATCCTTTTGTTTGGATAATCAGTCTAATGTATGCAAATTAAACCTTATTAGTACTAGGGTTTTGTGTCTGCTTATCAAAATGTGCCATTTTCATGAAAATTGGAAGTCCATTATATAAAGTTATTATTAACAATCATTTAGGAATTATATACGGTATGCAAATTAAAGTTGATTACAACTAATTAAGGGCTTTCTTTGTTATTTGACCTTGTCTGCTTTTTATGTAAATATGTTTCTTTTGGTCTGGCATATTTTTAGACTCAGAAAAGTATATTAAGACAAGTTACATTATGTATTTTTTAATGTATCTCTGTGCTGCCATTGTGCCCCTCATTTTGCAGAGGCACACATCATATGTAGAGCCATGCATCTCTCTGTTTGGGGGTGGTTTCTAGATGAATAGAATTTGAACTAGAAAACAATCAAATTTCCAAGTCTCTTCAATAAGTTTCATGGAATATGAGCACAAACCCAGTATAACTTATAAACAGTCTTCATGCCAGAATGCCCTTTCTTTCCACCACTTATCGACTTCAGTGAGTCTTGGGTTGCAGATTTCCAAATGGAGCTGTCCACGTAGGATACATCCAAACCTCTAAGAATTTTTGTGAGTTTATTTGAGCCAAACTGACGACAATGGCTGGGAAGCACACTCTCAACAGATTGAGAAAATGCTCCAGAGAATGGCAGTCTTGCACCTTATTTTATACATTACAATCAACGGATGAGGCATGGGGGGGGGGTACATGAAATCCATTGGTGATAGATTAGGGAGGCGGGAGAAAGCAGAGCATGGAAATATCAGAGATTGGATAAAGAGTAAAACAGAGAGACACTTCTTTTACATTGGTGGGTATGGATGATTAACAATTAACATTTACAGCACATAGAGATAGTATGTGGGGTGGGGGAGACAAGGTAACAATGAGGGGTTCTATGGTCTGTGATCTGGTGGGAGATTGTACCCTGAGGTGATTGTGATTAGCCGTGAAACCGAACTACCAATGGGTCCAGGCTGCCTGTTATTACTTGAGCCAATTCAGCAGAGACAGGGTTGAATTATATATGAGCATTTATTCCAATACTGCCGGCAGTATGGGAGAGCAGCAGGTCATCCACTAAAATCCAGCTGCTTATACTGGGTAGGATGAGGATTATGTGGGGAAGTAGGGATTACAAGCATGGGGAAGTAGACTATGCAGACTGGGGCAGGACTCCATTGTTTGGGCAACAAGGTTATTCATCTTTCCATGATATTAGGCAGTTCTTGAATGAGAATGGACCACATTCCAAGGTTAATTCCCAGGTCCAAGGTTGACTGCCAGGTCCTGGGGGCGTACAACACCCAGCCAGGTTAGAATGCCCTTTCTTTAATCAGAACAGGGCAATCATAGTTAATAGAGCATGATTAATATTTCTTTTATAACTGTAGCTAGTCCCCAATATTCTATTTTTGCCCCTAACACCCTGACATTCCAAAGGTATGTTATAGATGCAAAAAGACAGTAGACAGCTCAGTTAAGGTAAAGATTGACCTTTGTCACGAAAGATACAGGCCTAGGACATGACTATCTGCCATGAACTGCTTTTAGTTAGGAAGTTTTAATTTCAGACCATCCTATGTGGTTACTTTAGGTCTCTGAGTTTGTAAACCCGCCATGCAGGCCTCCCCTGAGCTTGTCAGGTTTAGTATATGGCCCGAGCTAAATAATAAGCGATCCATCACTCATTTAATAAGGTGTCCTGCAAAACCTAATTGTTAGCTCTGAAAGCATTAATCTAAAGATACCTAACTTCACCACAGAAAATGTAACAGGTCCAGTCCCAGGGCCTTTAGGAAGACCTGTGTGCTTTTTGTGAAAAGGGGAAGCATTTCTCAGCAGGCAAACAGGAAACATTTGAAGTGAGACTACTTAGCACTAACATTATATTTTTCCTTCAGTTCTACTTGTTTTCTGTGAACAAAGAAACTTGATGCAGTGGCTGAAGCAAAGGATCCTGGTTTAATTACATCATAGAAAAGACCTGGTAAGCTTTTCATTTGCCTTAAAGTATATGGGTAGGAAAAAGAATGGAGAAGATAAACCACCCAAGAAAAGAAATCAGACTATGGTGAGTGGAGAAGAACAAGCAGTATCTAGATATTTAAAAGAGGCAAACTACTTAAAATTCTATAAAAGAGAAACTAGGAACCAAATCACCATTGAATTCATCCAAATTTTGAACATATTCTTTTATTTTTCTGCTTTGAATAAGGACAGTTTAATCTTTTGAAAAATGTCTTTTGACTCTTATAAAGGGATTCAAACCAAACTTTTAGTTGACGTATAATATGTAAACAGAAAAGTGCACATATCATAAATGTACAGCTTGTTAAATTTTCACAAACTCAACACTGATTTAACCAGGATCTAGATCACGGAACAGCACATTAAGAGTACTCCAGTAGCTTCGACCTTTTTCATGAAATAGGTGACAGTATATGTGTGGGTCTGTTTCTGGCCTCTTGAGAACTGACATCTCTACAGTATCGAGTCCTTCAGTCTATGGACATGGTATATCTTTCATAAAGGGAAGCTTTATTTATTTTACTTTTAAAAAAAATATTTGTATTGATTTCAGAGAGGAAGGGCGAAGGAGAGAGATAGATAGAAACATCAATGATGAGCTGCTGCACATTCCACACTGGGGATCCAGCCCGCAACCCGGGCATGTGCCCTGACAGGGAATCGAACCGTGACCTCCTGCTTCATAGGTCAATGCTCAACCACTGAGCCATGCTGGCTGGGCCATAAAGGGAAGCTTTATAATCCAATAGTGCCCCTGGAAAATGCAGGAAAATCAAGAAGAGAGAGACCAAGTTCATTCATTTCGCTGTGATTTTGAGGGTCCCTTTACGGAGTAGATGTTCCACTTCACCATATTGTCTAGAAAGGATGCAGAGGTGCTGCTGGGCTTCAGGGAGTAGATGAATCTTTCATGTGGAGCCTCCAGTTTTCTAGCTACTGATGCTTTCATCATCATCCTCATTGCAGGCGTTCCGTGTCTTCCTCCCTCCTCAGGGCATCGACCATCATTTCTTTCCAATTTTGCTCCAGTTCCTTTGCTGAAAGTTTTTAGTATAACATAGAGTATGGTGCCTTTGGTAGCCTTCCACTATATTTATTTCTTAATTTTTAAAATATATGTTATTGATTTCAGAGAGGAAGGGAGAGGGAGAAAGCGATAGAAACATCAATGATGAGAAAGAATCACTGATAGGCTGCCTCCTGCACCCCCCCACCCCCAGGGATCAAGCCCACAATCTGGGCATGTGCCCTTGACCCTTCAGTCCTCAGGCCAATGCTCTATCCACTGAGCCAAACCAGCTAGGGCTGGTAGCCTTCCACTTTAGGTGCAGGCCTCCTAGTGAACATTTTCTTCTCTGTTCCAAAGAGAAGCAAAATTTGTCCTTCTCAGGCTCAAAATGTGCCCTGCTAAAATGCATAAACCACGATTTGGTTTTTACATTTCTAGAGACCATAATAGTTCCAGACATTTTTCTTCCCCCTCAGCAAGATGTAGAACATTTGAAGTCCTATCTCTGTGGAAGTTTTTCAAAAAGTCCTCATTGGCACCATGGCTTCGTTACGTACAAATGCACAAAATGATCTCATGATCCTGGCCTCACAGAAGTACAGGCTGTGTCTGAATTGTACCATAATAAAGATGCTGCTGTGGGTGCAGCTTTCCGCCTTCTCAGAAGATTCTTTGCTCTTGTAGGAGTTGCTGGGTGTGCCTGGAGAAGCTCCAAAAAGGTTAATAAGTGCCTGTGGAAGCAGGAGAGGGAAGATTGAAAGAGAACCCAGGAAATTCTCACAATGGTGCTCTGAAAAGGAGGTGAGTGCCAAGTCTCTAGTCTGCCTTCAGAACAATGTAGAGAAACACAAACACAGGGAGAGGTGTGGGTGACGCCCCCTGCTGTCAGGTGACTGGCTATGTAATCCACACTTCTTTTCCCAGGCGCTGACTGCCTCTCAGCCTGGGAATGGGAGATAGGGATGTAAAGCGCTCTCACCTGGTCCTGGCAAATGGGAAAAGTGGGCTGGGCTGACTACAGTGGGGCTCTCAGAGCCCCAAAGAACAGGGTCCCTGAAGTCACCATTTTGCTTTAGAAGGTTTATTATTTCACATTTCTCAAAATAACACGCTGAAATTACAGGCACCACAAACAAGATTCAAGCGATGTGAGTCTTTTAATTCAGGCAGAATTTAATGTGTAATTAAGATTAATTATACCATAATGGAATTGTAGACACATGATTATTGCATCACATTCCTTGCAGACATGCATCTTGTCTCGCAGCATTCTGGCTTCTCAGGTTGAGGAGCACGCTGAGAGGCAGAGCCACGGAACCTGACTGCATTGTTCGCGATGTGTTTATTACAAGGTCGCTTTGGAAGTTAATTTTTGCCAGCAATCATTTCAGAAGTGTCTGAAATATGCCCAAATGCGATTGCTTTTAAAAATTCCCATGTTTTGATTTGTTTTGAGAAAAAGTCAGCCTTAAAATACTTCCATTAGAAGTTTAAAGCATTTGTGTGTATCATTTATTAAGTTTAGGACACCACCGAATGTGTGAAGTGTTTGGGTTATGTGTGAAGGTGAAAATAATTTATTTCTTGGTCATAAATTCAAAATATGGGTGGTGCCCTGGCTGGTGTGGCTCAGTTGGTTGAGTGTTGGCCCCTACACCAAAAGGTCTCGGGTTTGATTCCCAGTCAGGGCACATGCTCAGATTGTGGGTTCAATCCCAGTCAGGATGCATGCAGGAGGTGACCAATCGATGTTTCTATCTCATCGATGTTTCTCTCCCTCTCCCTCTCTCTAAAATCAATAAAAACATATCCTCGAGTGAGGATTAAGGAAAAAAAGAAAGAACAAAATATGAGTGGGAGTCTGGAGATGATTTAGAATAGGCCGATTTCTGAACCAGACAGGAGATGGGCTAAACCAGTGGTCGGCAAACCGCGGCTTGCGAGCCACATGCGGCTCTTTGGCCCCTTGAGTGTGGCTCTTCCACAAAATACCACGTGCGGGCGCACACAGACAGTGCGATTGAAACTTCGTGGCCCATGCGCAGAAGTTGGTTTTCGGCCTGGGTGAGTCTATTTTGAAGAAGTGGCTTTAGAAGTGGGGGGTGTCGGTCGGGTGACGGAGACACGGCGCAGGCGGGCCGCGGGATACGCAGCGTGGGGGAGGTGCGCGCGATTCATGCATGAGTTAAGTGAGCCAGTCAGCAGTCTCATGTGCAGTGGTTAGTGCTAGTCGTGTCCGCAAATCGCGTGCGGGTGACAAAAGATAGACGAAACAAGTATACAAGACGAGTGTGGATGGGAGAGTTGGAAGGGGTCAACCTCAGCGAACGTACCTCAATCAGATTGAGGACGTTTTTAGCAAAGGCCAGCTTAGGAGTACCCTAATTAAGTTAATAACAATGTACCTACCTATATAGTTTAAGTTTAAAAAATGTGGCTCTCAAAAGAAATTTCAGTCGTTGTACTGTTGATATTTGGCTCTGTTGACTAATGAGTTTGCCGACCACTGGTAAACCTTCACAAACAGTTTTGACTCTCCTGTTATAAAAAGACCAAGAAATCCAAAGAAAGAAATTCCATTATACACTATAGTGTATTATATACAACAAATGCAACAACTTTGACCTAACAGGCTGGAGGCAGCTCACATATAACAACTTTGAGTCAATACTTCAGCTGGCCTAATTAGACCTGGAGAGTTTGCTTTGCTTCCGTTTTCTTTGCTATGATTTCAACACTAAAAGGGACTCGTTCTCAAATGTGAGTAAATTCTAGTTTCTTTTATTATGTAATTAATTATATACTTGTTATTATGAAAGTTTTCGGACCTACATATTCAGACCCTTTAAAAAATTCTCTTGGGTTCTAGGGTTGACTTAAGTTATTTTTTTATGTGCTAGCGTAACATCAGCTATAAATCCTTCTGCTTTTAGTTCTTGTGAAACTACAAAGTCAAATCAAGCAACATATATGAAACACCAGCAGACACATACCCATAACGTTTCAATTAACAGTATTAATGTAAAGGATGATGTCCTCTTACTGAACTTTTTTTAAAAAGAGCTATTCTTTTTTTTCTAATAAATTTTTCTTGATTTCAGAGAAGAAGGGAGAGGGAGAGAGAGATAGAAACATCCATGATGAGAGAGAATCATTGATCAGCTGCCTCCTGCATGCCCCCTACTGGGGATCAAGCTCGCAACCCAGGCATGTGCCCTTGACTGGAATCGAACCTGGGACCCTTCAGTCCACAGGCCGACGCTCTATCCACTGAGCCAAACCAGCTAGGGCAAGAAGCATGTATATTTTTAATTTTGACATTTTATTTATTGGTTGACATTTCATATTATAAAATTATCAAAAAATTTGTAACATATTTCCACCAACAATATATGAGAGTGCCTGTTTCCTCAAACCTTCAACATCACTAGATATAATTGGCTATACAAAAAATTAAGGTTTAAAAAATGTAGTTAATTATGTCTTATCTTTTCCTTTATGGTTCCTAGGTTAATTGTCTTCTTCATAAGATCTCCATTGCATTAAGGTAATATAAAACTATCCTAAATTTTCCTTTAGTATTATTCTTATTTGTGTTTATTATACAGCATGAGGTAAAGGTCTAGTTTTGCTTTCTTTTGGATAGTTAGCAATTCTGTCATCACCTTATATTAAATAATCTATCATTTTGGCAAAGATGTAAAATTCCCCCTTTGTGGAATTTCTGCTCATGTGGTGAGTTCTTATATATGTTTGGATCTCTTTGTGATGTCGCCATTCTGTTCCACTGACTTATTTATTTATTCCTGTACTAATACCAGATTTTATTTTAGTATTTTACAGTAATTTTTAATATTGGGTAAGATAAGCATTTACTATTTTTCCCCTTAAAAAATGGCCTGGCCATCAGTTTGCAGCCATTTATTCTTCCATATGAACTCTAGAATAACTTTCCGTATTCCCAACCCAGTCCCTTAGGATTCTGGTTGGGTTGTATTAACTGTATACACAAATGTATATAAAATGTTTGTATATATGGGTGTGCATATATACATATCAATTTGGGAGGAATTAACATTTTAATGATGAGAATATATATGTTTATATGTATAAACATTTATGTATATAAATAAATATAAATGCATATTATAGCTATAATAATAAAAGCATAATATGCTAATTAGACTGGACATCCTTCCGGATGACCTTCCAGATGAAGCTGGGGCTGTGAGGGAAGCCCGGAATCCGGGTGCCAGAGGGAAGCTGGTGCCAGCAGCTGGGGGAAGGAAGGCCTACTCTTGCATGGATTTTGTGCATCAGGCCTCTAGTGCACTTATAACACATTTATTAAAAATTGGCATAGTAATGATAAGCCACATGACATTGAAATGAAAGCAAAAGAAACTTGATCTTGGCAAATTTTTTCCTTTTTTTTTTTTTTTTTTGAGAGAGAGAAACTGATTGGTTGCCTCATGCAAGCACCCCACCAGGGATTGAACTCCCAACCTGGGCATGTTCCCTGATGGGGAATCAAACATGCAACCCTTTGGTTCATGGGATGACACTCCCACCAACTGTGCCACACCAGCCAGGGCTTGGCAAAGCTCTTGCCAAAAATACTCTCCCCTCACCAGTGATGCCTAAAACTCACAAAAAAATTAAGAGTTTTAGTTTAGAAGAGAAAATTAAAAGATTTGGGTATGATTGTAGTACGGGTTTGTCTCGAATTGTAAGGGTAAAGTGTTTTTCTGCATGTATGGGAATAAAAGTATATTGGCATATTCCTGTAATGTGTCAGTAATGTATTCCCAGGTGTGCTTGAAAACTTGTCTAGATACTATTAATCTCATTTGTCACACTATAATGTAACCTCTCTGTGTCAAGCTCAACATACAGATCCTCATTTTCTCACTTCAGGTGGGAGACTTTTAACATGGGTCAAATACCATTACAATGAACTCTGCAGGGATGCCAGATGCTTCCGGTATCATTTGGTGTGTGGATCAGAATCACCTTCCCCTTGCACACCCTATTGCTCACAGGTCAAGGGCTGGGGACACTGCAGCGTGGATGCAGGACCCTCTCAGGGAGCCAGGATTTCTTTCATCAGCTGAAGAGTTTCACAGCTGCAGTTTTTCTAAGGGCCATTGACCTTGAATAAAGCACTCAAGAGTCTTAGGAATTTAGCAAGGGCGGGTTAAGCTGGATTTCTTAGAAAGTGATATGAATGTTCTATTTGTAAGAGATAAAGATAGCCAATATGGGGGGAAGTCAAGGACTCTGAACCTGCAGTGCCTGGATCTGAATCCCGGCTGCACCATTCCTTGTCAGAGCTTGCTTGGATATGTGACTTAAACCAGTCAGTGCCTCAGTTTCCTTATCTCCAAAGTGGAGGTTAACAATGGCACTGAAATCATAGGGCTATTTTGAGATTTCTTTTTTCCCCTTAAACATGTTTATTGATTTCAGAGAGGAAGGGAGGGGAAGAGAGAGACAGAAACATCAACGATGAGAGAGAATCATTGCTTGGCTGACTCCTGCAGGCCCCCCACTGGGGGATCGAGCCCGCAACCTGGGCACATGCCCTGATCAGGAATCGAACCTAGACCTGGTTTATAGCTCGATGCTCAACTGCTGAGCCACACCAGCCAGGCCACCCTGAATATTTTTAAGTGTATCACAGTCACTGTCTCAGCGTCTTTAAAAGATAAAAACTCTTTTTATTGTGGTAAAATATAGATAACATAAAATGTACCATTTTAACCATTTTTAACTATACAGTTCAGTGTCATGTACACTCACATTGTTTTTAAAAATATTTTAAAATTACTTTTTGGGTGGCGGGGAGAGAAAGAGAAACAGAAACATTGAGCAGCTGCCTCCTGCATGTGCATAACCTGGGCCAGGAATCAAACTGGCAACCTTTTGGTGAATAGGATGACACCCAACCACCTGAGTCACAATAGCCAGGGCTGTACATCAGCGTTGTGCAACCATCCCTACCATTCATTTCCACACCATTTTCATCATCCCCAACTGAAACTTTATACCCATTAAACAATAAGTCCCCATTCCACTTCTCCCCCAGCCCCTAGCAACCACCCTTCTACATACTGTCTTTATGAATTTCATTATTGTAGATACCTCATATAGGTGGTGACATACAATATTTGTCCATTTGTGTTTGGCTTATTTCACTTAGCATAATGTCTTTAAGGTTCATCCATGTTGTAACGTGTGAGAACTTGAGTCATTTTTAAGGCTGAATAATATTCCATTGTATGTATATGCCACAAAGATTTTTTTAAAGCATAACCACAATATCATAATCGCATCCACAAAACAGTAATTTCTTAGAATCATCAAATATGCAGTCTGTGCCTAAATTTCTCCAGTTGTGCCATAAACATCTTTTTAAACAGTCTAATTGCTTGAAACAGGATTCAAATGTGATCCATTTTGATCCAGTTTGTTGATATATCTTTTATTTCTCTTAAATCGTGAATCTCTTTTTCTAAATTTCTAATTTGTTGAACTGGATTGTTTGACCTGTAGAAGTTTTCAGAGTCTAGATTTTGCCAAATGCATCCCCCACAGTGTCATTTAACATTTTACTATGTCCCCTGTATTTCTATTAAGTTGGTAAATTGGTAGTTAGATATAAAGGCTTGCTGAGATTCAGTTTTGATTCTTTGGCAAGAATTTTTCATAAGTAGGATTGTATGTAAGAGGCATGTCATATCTGGTAGTTTCTCTTTCTGTAATGTTAGCAGTTAATGGTCATAGTTTTAGGTCCATTAATTCATTAGTGGATATTCTAATTCTGTCATTCCTTCTTTATTTGCCGGAATACTTCTATGAAGAAAGATTCTTTCCTCATGCACTAGTTTCTTTTACTCTGAGGTAGACTTTGTAAAGGAAGTCAAAATAAATGCTTGTTCCTTTTGCTTTATTTTCATACAAATGAATTGGTTCCCTTGCATTCTACAAAGGTGATCAGTGAGAGTTAAAATTTTTGTGTTTTTCATTTGAGTAAATTTATGAACTCATACATTTTCCAATATTTGATGTATTGAAACCCATTCCATTGTTATTCTTACTGATTTTGAAATAATCCCCTCTTTGGTCAATGTGACACTTATTTTTTTTTTTTCAGTTGAAACCATTGAAGTGTATTGGTGGTCACAATGCTTTACACTGTATGCAGCAAACACCCTTACAAGTCTATCCGCAACCTGATCACACAAGAAAGGATTCACCACTCGCCAGAGAAGGAAGAAAAAAATTAATAGGTTTGTTTCTAGAGGTAGAGGAGAGAAACGCAAGAAAAACCTACTTGGTGAATGTCCAATGGCAAGAGTTGAACTAGAGATGCATACAACTAACAGCAACATTGTTGAAAAAGTACAGGGCAAATAGCTTTCTCCATTAATTTTCCTCTGTAGATTGATTTTTTAATATTCAAAACATTTATTATGGTTTTCATTTTATAAAAATGTATATTTTTAAGGTCATGGGAGAATGTTAAATACTTCATGCCAGACAGACCTAGTTATGAGGAACCCCTCCACTGTAGTAACTTCCTCCAGTTCATACATTCATGAGTGTGGGGTACATATGTAAATATCCACATGCACACGTCCACATGCACTGCCTCAAGGGCTGGGGAAGACTAAAAGTTATTATTCATCACATGCAGTTGGGTCTCTGGTGGACTCATCCAAATCGCTCCATAGGAGAGCTACTGGCTCAATCCCTTCTCTCTGGTCTCTACCTTTATAGAGACCAAGAACCCTAAATCATAGAGTTACATCCGACTTTTAAAAGTAAGAGGCATCACTCTGGACAGTGTAGCTCCTCGGATAAAGTGTTGGCCACACACCAAAGGGTTGGAGGTTCTAGTTCCCTTGTGTGGGAGGCAGCCAATTGATGTCTCTCACTCTCTCTCTTCCCCCTCTGTTCTCTCCCCTCACCACTCTTTCTCCCACTCTTTCTAAAAATCAATGGAAAATCCTCAGGTGAGGAGTGATAAAAATAAAAGCAAGAGGCATCTGTCTGAGGATGAGGGTAAGCAAAATGGGAAAAAGGATGAAGCTAGGAACACCCAACACTTTAGGGGAAATTGTCACTTCAAGAGGCTGAGGGACCTACGGCAGGATCTGTGGTTGAAGGATGGTTGAAAGTGGAGGTATGGTGCCACACATGGCTTAGAGTTCCTAATAACAAGGGTAATACAGGAATAGGAAGTGATAATTTGGGGGACAAGGAAAGAGCAATATGAAAAAATACACACTTGAAATTTTTACTTTTTTTTTTGCCTCTTTATAGTGTCACTAATTCTATCTCTGCATGTTCACACATATTCTCATTCAGTAAAGCTTCAGGCGACCAGAATACACATTTTTCCTCACAACCCCTCACATAAGCATTGCTGCACTAGACTGTAAACATTTTTCACTTACATTTTTTGTTTTTAAACATTTCGAAAGTATATTTTTATTAAATTTATTGGTGTGACATTGATTAATAGAATTATATTGGTTTCAAATGTGCAATTCTATAATACATAATCTGTATATTGTACTAGAGGCCCGGTGCATGAAATTCGTGCACTTGGGGGGGGGGTGTCCCTCAGCCCAACCTGCGCCCTCTCACAGTCTGGGAGCCCTCAGGGAATTTCCGACATCCTTAGCGCTACCATAGAGGTGGGAGAGGCTTCTGTCGCCACTGTTGCACTCTCCAGCCATGAGCCCAGCTTCTGGCTGAGTGGCGCTCCCCCAGTGGGAGTGCACTGACCACCAGTGGGTAGCTCCTGCATTGAGCATCTGCCCCCCCCGGTGGTCAGTGCGTATCATAGCGACCGGTCATTCTGCTGTATGGTCTATTTGTATATTAGCCTTTTGTTATATAGGATTGTGTGTTCACCACCCAAATTCAAGTCTCCTTCCATCATTATTTATCCCCCTTTACTCTCTTCTGCCTCCTGCTGTACTTCCCTCTCCCTTTGGTCATCACCATACTCTTCTGTGTCTATGAGGTTGTTTTTTTTTTCTTTGCTTAATCCCTTTACCTTTTTCACCCAGCGCTACCCCCAACCCCTCTCCCCTGACAGCTGTCAGTCTGTTCTCTGTATCAGTGAGTCTGTTTCTTTATTTTGTTAGCTTATATGTTTATTTCATATTTAAGTGAAATCATGTGGTACTTGTCTTTCATTGACTGGCTTATTTCACTTAGAGCATAATATTCTCCTGGTTCATCCATGATGTCACAAAGGGTAAGTTTTCCTTCATTTTATGGCCTAGTAGTAGACCATTGTATAAATGTACCATAGCTTTTTTTCCACCCATCTACTCAGGGGCACGAGAGTCCAGTGCATGAATTCGTGTACGGGTGGGGTCCCTCGGGGTGGCCTGTGGAGATCAGGTCCCAGCTCGTGCCCCCAGCCTCACAGCCCCGCAGCCCCGCCTGGCACCTGCCTTGGTCTTGTGCCACCTGCTCACTTGCTCCACCATCCCACCATGGTCCCCCTCTCGTTGGGGCCAGCAGCACCTCCATTGCCACCTGCTGCCAGCACCGCTGATGCCTGCCATGTTCCACGCTGCCCCCTGGTGGTCAGCACACATTATAGCGAGTGGTCAAACTCTCAGTTTCCTGGCCAAATTCCCAGTTGAACGACCACCCAAGGGGATAATTTGCATATTAGCCTTTTATTATATAGGAGGAGGACTAGAGGCCCGATGCACAAAATTGTGCAAGGGGCTCAGCCCTCACAGCTGCAGTGGCTGCCTCGGCCCTTGCAGCAGCGATGGCTGCCTCAGCCCTCGCAGCCCTGGCTTTGTTTGGAAGGTCGTCTGGCTGTCCAGCCTAATTAGCATATTATGCTTTTATTAACTTATATAATAAAGATGTAATACGCAAATGGTCATTACGTAAAGACCAACCAAGTAATGACCGGATCACGGGTCAGCAGGAGGGTGGGACAGCGAGCTACAAGTGGCTGGCGGAGAGCTACAGGAGGGCGGCAGCAAGCTACTGGTGCAAGGATTCGTGCGCAGGGCTACTAGTTATAGATAATGCTACAATGAATGTAGGGGGGTATACACTGAGTGGCCAGATTCTTATGACCACCTGACATTTGTAGGCAAATTAGCTATAATTTCCCACTGAAGTTGCTAGAGGGCCAGACCATTATAAACATCTGAATAGCACAACATACCTAAGTATTGTTGCTGATCAAGTTCATCCTATCATGTTGATGGCATATCCCAATGGAGATGGCTTCTTCCAACAAGACAATGCGCCATGCCATGGTGCTCGTATTGTGCAGGAGTAGTTTCAAGAACATGAGGGAGACTTTACCTTGCTTAGGTGGCCCCCACAATCACCAGATCTCAATCCAATTGAGTATTTGTGGGACGAAGTTAAAAGAGCCATCAGGCAGCTGGTTCCACAACCATCAAATCTCACAGAACTGGACAGTGCCATTCATCAGGCATGGTGTCAGATTCCTCGAATCACCTTTCAACATCTCGTGGAGTCAATGCCAAGAAGAATTGCCGCAGTATTGAAGGCAAAAAGTGGCCCAACGAAGTACTGATGGGGTGGTCATAATAATCTGGCCACTCAGTGTATATTCTTTCAGATCAGTGTTTCAGGTTTTTTCAGATATATTCCAATAAGGAGTTGCTGGGTCCTAAGGCAGTTCCATTTTTAATTTTTTGAGGAAACTCCATACTGTTACTTATTTTTTTATGCAATTGTAAATCAGATTGTTTTCCTAGTTTCTCTTTCTGATAGTTCATTATTGGTGTATAAAAATGCAACTGATTTTTGGATATTTATTTTGTATCCTGCTACTTTACTGAATTTATCAGTTCTGGTAGCTTTTTGGTGGAATCTTGAGCGTTCTCTATATACAGTATCATGTCATCTGCAAATAATGACGGTTTTACTTCTTCCTTTCCAATTTGGATACCTTTTATTTCTTCTTGTTTGATTGCTGTGGCTAGGACTTCTTGTACTATGTTGAATAAGTGCTGAAAGCAGACATGCCTGTCTTGTTCCTGATCTTAAGGGAAATTATTTATACTTTGTCCATTGAGTATGATATTGGCTGTGGGTTTGTCATATATGGCCTTTACTATGTTGAGGTATGATCCCTCTATTCCCACTTTGTTGAGAGTTTTTAATCATAGATGGGTGCTAGATTTTATCAAGTGTTTTTCTGTATCTATTGATAGGATCATGTGATTTTATCCTTCATTTTGTTTATGTGGTGTATCATGTTTACTAATGTGCACATATTGTGCCAATTTCGCATCCTCAGAATAAATCCCACTTGATCATAGTATATGATCTTTTAAATGTATTGCTGGATCCGGTTTGCTAATATTTTGTTGAGGATTTTAGCATCAGTGTTCATCAGGGATATCTGCCTATAAATTTTCTTTCTTGTAGTGTCTTTATCTGGTTTTGGAATTAGGATAATGCCAGCCATGTAAAAGAGCTCTTACATTTTTTTGGAATAGTTTGAGAAGAATAGATGTTCTTCTTTGAGTGTTTGGTAAAATTCACTTGTGAAGCCATCCGGTCCAGGACTTTTGTTTGTTGGGAGTTTTTTTTTTTTGTTTTGTTTTTTTTAATTATTGCTTCAGTTTTTTGTTGTAATCTGTCTATTCAGCTTTTATGGTTATTCCTGATTCAGTTTTGGAACCTTGTCTGTTTCTAGGAATTTATCCATATCATCCGAATTGTCCAATTTGTTGACATATAGCTGTTCGTAATATTTACTTATAATCTTTTGTATTTCTATGGAGTTGGTTGTTACTTCGCTTTCATTTCTGATTTTATTTATTTGGGACTTTTGTCTTTTTTTATGAGTCTGGATAAAGGTACATCAATCTTGTTTATCCTTTTAAAGAATCAGCTTTTGGTTTCATTGATATTTTTTTTATCTGTCATTTTTTTTCCTCTTTATTGATTAAGGTATTACATATGTGCCCTTATTCCCCATGTCTCTGTCATGTATTTCTGCTCTAATCTTTATTATTTCCTTCTACCTACTTTGAAATTTGTTTACTAGTATTGTTCTTTTTGTAGTTCCTTCAGGTGTAAGTTTAGATTGTTTATTTGAGATTTTTCTTGCTTTTTTATTATAATGATGGAAAACATAAAAATTTCCATCTTTTTTCCCATTATAGTTCACATTCAATATTATTCTGTATTAGTTT